GGTATATAGTTTAACAACTGAGACTGGACTCAAGTTTATGTTTTCCATGCTCTCAGTCTCCTAGTTTCTCCTTTAAGCTGGTTTTAAGTAAAATTTCAGCTGTCCTGAATAGCATACAACAAATGTCATCCACAGAAAGCAGCATTTTAAAACATGAAAGACACATTTTTTCCACTGACACTCTGTTTCTGACTTACAGTCCAGGGGGACTTCATTGTGAATATGCAGAGGTAAACTGACACCTCACCTATTCATCCTCGCAAATGCCTTGATGTTTTGTTCTGAGGGGGTAAAAGGCTCTCTAATTATAGATCTACACTATTAACATTCTGCTACCCACAATTGCTATTTTGTACATGGGCATGGTAAATAAAAAGAGGACAGAAGTGAGTGGCCCCTCTCTTCCAAGCACTCTCACACATACCCTGTGTTAGTGGTGAATGACAGAGCTCAGTTTCAGTGCCTTGGGGAGATAAGTCCTGATGTTTTCACTAAAAGTGACAATAGGGGGTTTGTGTTGCATTCAGAAGCAAATATTTGAGACTGCTGAGGTTTTGTAATGAAAAGTGACTTAGCAAGCCAAGATCCTTAAGCCCCCTTTGCCTCAACCTGATGTGCAATGGCAAGTCAATGACCATATGTCATCAATAATATAAATCAAATTTACGTTTTATAAGCCTTAAGCATGCCTATAGTAGTTAGTTATTCTGTGGCAATCTGTTGATTAGCCAATTTAGGACAACTATTGGTGTAGTGATCAGTGGCTGCTGAGTGCCTGAATACAGTGACCACAGGGAACCAGGACAGTGGTTATCTGAGAGCACCTTAGAGTCCTTTGAGAAACTAAATATTGTGTGGAACAGATAATGTTGCAACTGTCCCAGTTTTTAAAATGCCAGGAAAAGTGTGCACATGTCTTTGCAGGGTTTGTGTAACACTTTGAGTCAACAGGCAAGCCAAATAGATTTCCCAAGGGATCGATTGTCGCTAAAGGTGACTGGATTTTTGCTGTCTGGGCCCCTCAGAAGTGAAACTCCTTGCCTGAGGAAAAAGGAGGCAAACTCATATCCTCTTCTGTGAAAGGCACTATATAAAGTTATTAAATAAAATGTATGAATGCATTAAAGTTATGTTTGTATTACATTTCACGTGTCTTAATGCCATTGAAACATGGTTTTGAAAATAACGCAAATCCTTTCCATTTCTTTCTTTCTACAGACACATACTCCAAAAGCAGTAAAACTCCATTTCACAAGAGCCTTGTCAAAATCTGCCATTCAGAATGTTAATGTCTCGTTCACAGAGAAGACCCCTCCCTGGTTTTTCAGCTCTGCTGACACACAGCACTCCAAAAGACATAAATGTGCTGTCTCCACCTCCCCTATCCTTTACGCCACGAGAGTCAATCTTCACAACCACATCTCTTACTTCACCACCTCCCTGGGTTACTGAGGTCCTTTCCAACTTGGAACAAGGAGAACGAGAACTACAAAGCCTTGTGGAGCGACAGCAGGCTGAGGTGGAGCAGGTGAACCGTGAGTTAGACAATGCAGTTATTGAAGCACAGAGAGAGGAGCGGCGCCTTCTCGAGAAGGTTGAGCAGGACCACAGAGAAGCCCAGCAACACCTAAGTCAACTGAAGAGGGAGAATGCTGCAGCAGTACGAGTTTTGCAGTCACTAGTAGATCAGCAACTTAGAAAAATGGGACAACTGAAAGAACAAATACAAAGATGGGGCAGCACTGCTGGTGAATCCAACAAAAAGCAGCTCCAAAGAGGGGTGGCAGAAGTCACCCAACCTTGGGAAATTTCTCTAACACTAAAACGAGTCAGTTTCTTAACACACCCTGAGTCCAAAACCATAAGCTTAGGGGAAGTTCATGTTCATGAGCAAAGTATGACCTACTCCACTGGTGTCTGTGGAGACCAAGGACAGAAGTGTGCCTTGCACTCAGGGGATTCAGTGTTTTCAAATATTACCCCTTTTGAAATTCGAAAGGAACCACAACCAAACAGAGGTGGACAAAAGTACAGCCCAAATGAAACTACCAAGACGAAGAGCGGGAACATCCGTGTTGTGCGGAAACTACGTCTATCAAGCTCTACAGACAATGAGGACGAGCTAAAATCACCCACCATCAAGTGCCCCATTTCAAGGCACTGTGGTGCATCTGAATCATCCCAAGATGACGAACTGGAGTCTGTGAATTCAGACACACAGGGACAAGACCTTTTCCTTGCTGTCCCACCAGTCTCCAGTCAAGGAGAATCTGAAGGGGATGAACCTGATGGCAGACAAAAGAAAACCAAGAGACGCTCCTTACTGAAAGGGAAGAGAAAACAAAAGGCCCTTGTCTTAGTTTCGTGTGAAGAACCATCCTGTCCTTTTGAAGAAACTGATAAAAAAAACTGTGACGTAACAATATCTCCAAAGGTTAAGTGCAAAAGTTCGCTCTCCAGACACAGTCTTGTGGATCTTTGCACTGAAGGTCATCCTCTTTCTCTACAAGCCCTATCTAAGAAAAAGACCTCAAATGAATCATCACTGGACAGTGGAAGCCCACCATCCCCAGTGGACAGTGAGGATTCTGGGTACACGTACATTGTAAATACTCATATTAATAGATCCCTAAAGCAAGAGCGCAGCTGTTTAGTGTCCACTACTGATCTCTCTGGTAAACTACGCCCTATAATTAATAGTAACAAGGGCGAGCACAAAGGAATCAGGAAGGTGAACAGACTGCATCTTGTCTCTGAACCCTCAACTTTTGATCAAAGCCAAGAAAGTGGCCCAGAACCTGACAAGAGAACTACAACCTCTATTGAACGACAATCAAGATCCAAGTCTCGTGTTACTCAAAGTTCAAGTTTAAACCGCGTGAGCAGATCTCAGTCTCTGTCAGCCATTGAAGGTGACAAATTATATCAAGTCAAGGTATCACAACAAGACAATGACACAGAAAAAGTTGTATCATCACTGAGGGAAATGGAGGAAGAAGGTGGTTCAACAGCTCTGGATTCAGCTCATCTGGTCAAACAATTTGGAAAACAAGGATCAGGCCGGACTGACTTTAACCTCCCAAGCGGCATCCATGCAACTGTTAAAGGGCAGCTGTTTGTGGTGGACTGTGGAAACGCCCGCATTCAGGTGACTGATTTCCAGAAGAATGTGGTACAGCAGGTGTCACCATCAGGGTCAGAAAGGTCTTCCCACATCTGCAACTACTTTGACATAGCTGTGAACTCAAAGGGGCTCATTGCCTTAACCTGTGCTGCTGAACGAGCCGTGTTGGTGTTCAGCCGTCATGGACGCCTCCTGCAAACATTTGGAGGCACAATGATTGGTTCCACCAATGAGGAGCTGGATGCTCCCAGGGGGGTGACTGTTACCCGTCAAGATGACTTTTTGGTTGCTGACATCAAGCGTGGCACCTTAACTGCTCTAAAACTGGACCCCAAAACCGGGGCCAGGTTGGAGCGCACAGTGGTAACTGGATATCATAGACCCTACTTGGTGGCAGCCTGTCTCTCCACTGGGCTTATGGCAGTATCAGAGCGAGGCAACGACAGTGGACGTGTCCCATGCATCCGAGTCCTGGAACCTGGCTGGAACACTATCCGAATCCTGGGTGTGTGCTCTGGCCTGGGGCCTGTCCTAACCTGTCCTTGGGGCCTCTGTATCGACAGCAATGGGGATGTCCTGGTGGTAGACTGGGGCAGGCAGCACCATCGTGTTCTTCTCTACCCATCTAAGGGTGTTGGCTGGCCTCTGGTGACCAACAACCTGAATAGCCCAAGGGGCCTGACACTCCTCCCTGATGGCCATGTGGCTGTGTCAGACAGTATGAATCATTGCATCAAGATCTACCGCTACAAGTGAACTACAGAAAATGGTATAGACAGAGATAGTAAGGCATGGACAACAAAGTCTAAATGTTGTGATAAACTCAGAGGGTTTTATTTGTAATAGCAGGTAATTTATATATGAGAGTGACCTTTATGAGGTTCTTTGAGTATAATTTACAGACTCTTCCTCTTACCTGTTATAATGATTTTGAAATTGTGATGATTTTTCATTATGATAATCAGTAAATGTGAGACGTGTAGAAGATTAGTTCAAAATATTTTCATTGCATCTATATAGCACAAAAAGACACTAGTAGAAAAGCATTATCTTGAGTGTTTATAATGTTCTGTAATTTATCTAAAGCATGTTGAACCATAATTGTGAGCCTGGATCATATTTTGAAATTTCGTGAATCATGCCCTTATTGCAGAGCATTTTAATGACTGATAATCAAGACAATTTTGAGAGCCCTGAGATCAGTCTAGTTGGCTTAAACCAGGAGGGACTGTGTTAAAGACTGCACTGTCAGTTTCTCTGAATAAAAAGCTTTGTTTTAAATCTAATTTTGCTTTTGTTGGGGATACTGCCTAACTACACAACCTCATAGCTTTTGGGTGATATTCAGGCAACTATTTTTGCCCAAAATTGTCTGTATTTCCAGAAGAGTCTGCCACCAACCAAAAAACAGAACAAAATGTGCTTATTGGCTCTGATTTGTAGGATATGCAGTTGAGAAACTCAGTAGATGTGATAAAACATTAACCAACCAGATCAATAATGGAATTTGAAATCCACAGCAAATGCAAAGCTAAGCTTCTCCTTTCTACTTCTTCTTCAAGCAGGTTTTTAAAACAGCAATATTACAGATAAATATGATACTTTGAGACATTAACCAACAGAATAGCACATAGGTTGTTCTGCATATAATACTGACATTTTAAAACAATAAGCACCCAATGCGTAGATTGCAATACATGATTGTAAATGATCATGTCAAAGCCTAATTTTGCAAAAACTCAAGCTCCATAGCCCTATTTGTGCAAACATACAGCAGTGTCCCAACATGACCACCCACGCACATATTTCAACATAAAAGTGCGGGACCAGCTCCTGCACAGCTACAGCTGTGCTGCACAGTGAGGCTTCACATCAGAGGACTTCATCAGGACCGCACACCATGGAGCTGTTCACCAAAACTCTCCTTCTGTGCTTAGCACTTGGCCTCGCTAATGGAGCACCTGTGTGAGTATTAATGAACTCCCTTCTTATAATCAATTATTACTCAAAATAGATCATTCCAGTCAGGAGGTTTAGACCTGATTCTTCACTGACATTATGTGGATTATCACTCAAGACTATTTTCCAAATCTGTAAATCTGTAAATAAGCACAGATGGATTAAGGCTTACAAGTCAAACTATAATTAATGTAGTTTCAAGTTTATCTTTCAGTTTCCATCAAAATTTCCTGCTCTTCAATAAAGTAAAAATTAAACATCCCTAAATACAGAGGGCAGACAAAATAAGCCTTTACAATAAAATGCAAACTAATATAAAAGCTAAATTTTTAGGGTTGTACTTTGCGTTTTTCAGAATCAGAATCACATTTATTTGGCCATGTATATTTAAACACATAAAGAAATTATACCAGGTACAGAGGCTCTCAATGTGCCTGTAGGTCAGCAAGAGAAGATGAAAAATATGTTTCTTGTACTCAGTTGCATTAAGGTATTCCTATTATTTTGTCCACAACCTGCTACTGATCAAGATCGTCCCATATTTTTCTGTATCCTCTTTTATTAGTTTAACCAGTGCAGTTGAAATGCACAAGTCTTATTATTTCATAACTGTGTGTTGGTGCATTAAGTTCACCTGTTGGCTCAATTGAACAAAAACAAGTCCCACGTCATGGTGACCTTAATGTCATTGACTTTTATAATTGAACCTTAATGTGATGCTTTGCTGAGTCTTTCTGCAAAGAAATACAAGCTCTTTTCTATCATTAACAGGAACCATCAACATTCATCAGCAGTCGGTGGGTTTTTTACAAACATATTCAAATACCAACTTTGCTTTCTCATTACTTTGTCCATAATAGTCTTATATAGTAGAAGTAATCTCAAGGAAACATTTTGCTGAAGAATGCATGTTTTACATTACACATTTTCTGTATTTAACTACATTTTAATTATCTCTGTAATTCAAACTTTGGAATAAAGATGGAGCTGCCCATGCTGCTGCGCCAGACCGGTGTGAAGGTATTGAGTTTGATGCCATTACTCTTGACGCGAAGGGAACCGCTTTATTCTTCAAAGGTCGGTGTCTTGGCAACACCCTTATTGCATCACATTTCTTTATATTGAAGCCAAGTCTCTAATTAAAGTGACAAAAATATTTTTGAATAAAAAATGATAAACTTCATTTTCTCATGTGAATATTTAGATTTTGTTTTATATTTTTCCAAACTAAACATATATTTATTGCAGTGTAATCAAACTCCAATCATCTTTTATCCCAAGGTGGCCATGTATGGAAGGGCTTCCACGGTCCACTTCATCTTTCCAATGAGTTCTTCAAGGAGCTGGATGACATCCATCTGGTCGGCCATGTTGATGCTGCCTTCCGCATGCACAACAAAGAAAACCCAGAAGATCATGATCACACTTATTTCTTCCAGGTATAATCTCAGACGTTTTAATTTGTGATATGATTCTCTAAAAAAATGTCATCAAGAGCCGTATCTGTTACTGATCTCTACCATTTCTGATGTAATGTCTAGAATGACAAGGTGTTCAAGTATGATAATGACACTCTAGAGAACGGGTATCCAAAAACGATTCAAGAAGAGTTCCCAGGAGTTCCTTCTCATCTTGATGCCGCTGTGGAGTGTCCCCAAGAAGAGTGTGCAACCAACTCGGTTCTATTCTTCAAGGGTATGTTGGCATTCAATGAAAAATACTCATCTTAATAAGTAAAGAGTGTCATTTGGCTGTAAATTAACATGAAAAATCAATGGAAGAAATAATTCAATGAAATAGAGATTACCTTTTCTCTTGACAAATGTCAGTGTGTGAAGGAAAAATTAGATTATCTCAGTATTATAACCCCTTGTGGACAAAATTACCTGTAGCAGGAGTTTTATCATAAGGTTTTAAAGTGGTTTAAAAGTAAGCAATAAAGAATGAGGTAAAATATTCTTTGCAAGCCTTTGACTTATCTGAATTGTCCTAATACAGATTGCCTATAGCATGTCTAGCAGGTAGTCCAACAAAAAAGTATCAGAATTAGTTTTTTTTTAAATTGTACTAATTGAAAGAACAAAGAAACAAAGATTTTTATTGTCCATCTTCATCCACTTTATCCGAGACTGGGTCACGGGAGCAGTAGTCCGAGCAGAGTCTCCCAGACTTCCCTCTCCCCACACACCTCCTCTAGCTCCTCAGGAGGAACCCCAAGGCGTTCTCAGGCCAGCTGGGAGACATAGTCTCTCCAACGTGTCCTGGGTCTGCCCTGAGGCCTTCTCCCGGAGGGACATGCCCAGAATACCTCCCCAGAGAGGCGTCCAGGGGGCATCCTAAACAGGTGCCCAAGCCACCTTGACTGGTTCCGCTCAATGTAGAAGAGCAGTGGCTCTAATCCGAGCTCCTCATGGGTGACTGAGCTCCGCACCCTATCCCTAAGGGTGTGCCCAGCCACTCTCCAAAGGAAACTCATTTCTGCTGCTTGTATCCATGATCTCATTCTTTTGGTCATGATCGAAAGTTCATGGCCATAGGTGAGGGTAGGAACGTAGATTGACCGGTAAATTGAACGCTTCGCCTTATGACTCAGCTCCTTCCTCACCACAACAGACCGATACAGAGACCGCATTACTGCGGATGCCGCACCGATCTGTTTGTCAACCTGCCGCTCTATTTTTCCCTCACTTGTGAACAAGACCCCGAGATACTTATACTCCTCCACTTGAGGGAGCAACTCGCCCCCAACCCGGAGAGGGCAATCCACCTTTTTCTGATTGAGAAACATAGCCTCAAATTTGGAGGTGCTAATTCTCATCCCCGCCACTTCACACTCGGCTGCAAACCCCTCTGGTTGAATACCTTCTCCAGATCCACAAAGCACATGTAGACTGGGTGGGTGAACTCCCATGAACCCTCCAACACCCTAGTGAGGGTATAGAGCTGGTCCAGTGTTCCACGGCCAGGGCAAAAACCACACTGTTCCTCCTGAATCCGAGGTTCGACTATCGGCCGGATTCTTCTTTCCAGTACCCTGGCATAGACTTTCCCAGGGAGGCTAAGAAGTGTGATCCCCCTATAGTTGGAGCACACTCCGCGTTCCCCCTTTTCAGCATCCTCACAGCCTGGTGGATGAAGCTGTTTGTAAGTCTGGTGGAGTGGGCCTGAAGACTCTGATGGGGGGTGGATGGGGTCCAACTCAGTGGGGGATGCTTTAGAGGTTTTCTCCTGATGTCCACAACAATCTCCTTAGTCTTCCCCACACTGAGGGAGAGGTTATTGTCCTTACACCACTGGACCAGTTGGCACACTTCACTCCTGTCATTGGCCTCATCACTGTGGGTAATGAGGCCAACTACAATCGTGTCATCCACAAACTTGACAATGTGGTTGGTGCCGTAGGTTGGCACACAGTCATGGGTCAGCAGTATGAAAAGTAATGGGCTGAGCACAGACCCCTGTCAGCCCACACATTTTGCATCCCTGTTAGAAACTCCAGCAATCTATATTACAGTTTAGTCATATGTGAATAAATTACTATCAAATGAACTGTGATATATTGCAATTAAGTTACTGTAAATGAAGGAGCACGTGGTGGAGATGATTGATGAGACATGCTTCCTTCCCACAGGACATGATGTGCATGTTTATGATATTGGCACAAAGGCGGTGAAGAACAAGACGTGGTCCCACCTGCCTGTCTGCACCTCAGTTTTACGCTGGGCAGAGCACTACTACTGTTTCCATGGACACAATTTCACCAGGTTCAACCCAGTAACTGGAGAGGTGAGCGGTACCTACCCAAAAGATGCCCGCAATTACTTCATGAAGTGTGCCAACTTTGGTGAGTTCACCAAGTAAAGAAAATTTGAATTAGGTTCAATTTTACAACAACTTCATTCTGTACAAGAAAGAAAAACAGATCTAATCAATAAATGTGTCATCTTCTGTATTTAACTGCAGGTCACGGAGGTGGTTATCAAGCCCCTAAATGCAGTGAGGTCAAATTAGATGCCATCACTAGTGATGATGCAGGAAAAACGTATTTATTTTCAGGTAAAGGTAAAAATAGTTCAACGTCTACATGTCAGCCCTGTAATAGACTGGCAACCTGTCCAGTGTGCACCCCTCCTCTCACCCAGTGCCAGCTGGGATTGGCACCAGATATTAAACTAAGTGCCTACTGGCAACAGCTTCATGCAAACCACAACATTCTCCAAATGCATAACACAAAGGGAATAGCTAATGTGGACTACATTGTGTGACTAGTACAAGACTAACAGCGAGGCTATTCAACACTCCAACAGCTGTCACTAAGAATACAGTTCACTCTGCTCAGGTCCTATATACATGCGCCTGGACACCCATCGTGACGGCCTTCACGCCTTCCCAATAATCAGGTTATGGAAAGAGGTGACCAACGGGGTGGATGCTGTCTTCTCCTTCGCTGACAAAATGTACTTGATTAAGGTAGAACTTGAAGTAACCAATCCCAGTGTTTCCAGCATTCATTACAAACCTTTGAGCTGGGCTGACGTTAAAACTGTTCTGCTAAACACTTGCAGGATGACAAGGTTTACATCTATAAGAAAATTGTACACTATACCCTGATTGAAGGCTACCCTAAATCCCTGAAGGAGGAACTTGGCATTGAAGGACACGTGGACGCTGCTTTTGTCTGTCCCAATGAACACACAGTTCATATAATCCAAGGTAATGTTACTGGGTGCTTAGATTTCATTTTTGGTGAATTTTTGGGTTGAGTTTATTTGTAATATTAACACAAACCCATCTGTACAAACAGTCCAGATTCCCCTCTGTCCTCAAGCCAGCCGTTTTGTAAATCATTAACATAAGCTCTTTAACAAACATCTTTACAAATATTTCTTCCATCAGGACGGACGATGCGTGACGTCGACCTTTCCGCCACACCAAGGGTGGTGACCCAAGGGGTGCCCTTGCCCTTGAGCAACATTGATGCTGCTCTGTGCGGTCCAGACGGAATTAATGTGTTCGAGGGCTCTAAGTATTACCACTATCAGAGCCCTATGATACTGGCTACAAGCAGAATGGCCCCTTTTCCTAAGAATATCACCCCAGCAATGATGGGATGTGAGGAATAGGAATTAGGGAGGAGAGAACACAAAAGCTTATCAGTGCTCTCCAATCAATATAGAGTCAATTTTAACTTCACTACACTCATCCATGCAAAAGAAGAGATTCCTAGTTTACAAACAGACTGACAGCATGGAATTCAAAGTGTATGTTTAATGGAGAAAAAGAATTAAATATGTAAGACTGAGGAAAAAGTTTGACTATTGTTTGGTGAATAAAAATGGAAAACTGCACAGTGGACATTATGTCAATGTCATTTATTATTATCAGAAAACATTTATGATTTCATCATTAAAAAAAGAATAAGCACTGATTTTGTATTTTCAGTTTGCATATATGAAACTGATAGTGAACAACTACGACAACCAAAATCCAGAGGGAATTCATCAAGTAATGTCCGAGTTTGTCCACTAGAGGACCTACTGGACAAATTAACATATTACACCAGAAATAATGAGAGATTCACTGTTAACATAAACTAAGCTGCTGTAACATTTTAATACAGACATAAACCAAATGTTTATACATATAAATTATATGAGGAAACAGCACTTTTTGACTAAGCCACACATCAACTGTGTCTTTTTCAGAATCAGAATCAGCTTTATTGGCCAGGTGTGTTGGACACACAAGGAATTTGACTCTGGTACAGCAGCTCTCAATGCGTATGTACATGTCCTTATGTAAGACAGCAGTGGACAAGTAAACAATGTAAGGCTGAGAACAGAAAGTAAAGTAATGTGCAATCAACCAAAGGAGTGTGCATTAAGAATAAAAATGAAGTACTATGTTGACACAATCTATATGCATTTGACGGATCTATATGTAGAAGGTATATTTACAGGTATTGCACTGAGGGTTATTGTCCAGTCATACTGTCGTGGGTTAAGTGTTCATCAGAGTGACAGCCTGGGGGAAGAAACTGTCCCTGTGCCTGGTTGTCTTGGTGCACAGTGACCTGTAACACTGTCCAGAGGGGAGGAGTTTGAACAGATTGTGTCCCGGGTATGAGGGGTCTGCAGTGATCCTCTCCGCCCTCCTTTTGACCCATGAGGTTTACAGGTCCTCCATGGAGGGCAGGCTGGCACTGATGATCTTTTCTGCAGACCTGACTGTTCGCTGGAGTCTGTTCCTGTCCTGTTTGGTTGCTGAGCCCAACCCGACAGTGATGGAGGTGCAGAGAACAGACTCAATGATTCCTCTGTAGAACTGTATCAGCAGCTCGCTCCTCTGGCAGGTCAAACTTCCTGAGCTGGCACAGGAAGTACATCCTCTGCTGTGCCTTCTTGGTGATGGTCCTGATGTTGGACGTCCACTTCAGTTGCTGGGAGATAGTGGAGCCCAGGAACTTGTAGGACTTTACTGCTGATACAATGCTACCAAGTATGCTGAGAGGGGGTAAGGTGGGGGGTCTCTTCCGGAAGTCCACTGTCATCTCCACTCTTTCGAGCGTGTTCAGAACATGTTTCTAGACTACAAAAGAAAAAGAAACCTTGACATAACAGGTCTCAGTAATCATTGAAAGTAGAGGAGGCTGTGATGTCCTGACAGAGTTGAAGAGGGAAAAGATCAGAAGAAATACAACGATAAAAAGAAAATGCATGTTAGTGAGTGCATGGAGTGCAGGTACCATATTTCCACACATACAGTAACTGTTGCATTTAGGACATGACCACGAGTCTGCCTTCAACTTGCTGCACTGACTCAAAAATATACAGTGGCTACAGTAAGCACAAGTGCCCACATGCATCTCTGTGGGTTAAAAGTGAACCCTTAGCCCAACTTTGTACATGGAGAAAGTCTGTGGACAGCAGACACTGGGTCCCCTCCTTATATTGAGTTATCAATAATTACAGTGAAAAAGCATCAAGTGTAGATGCGCACTCTGTCAAAGGTGTAAATGCAAGTGTGAAGCTCTACAACAATGGTCTCAATTTAAAGATTTTACTAGTGTGTAAAGCCTACTGCAACAAGGAAGCCAAATAAAACATAAAAGACTTGATAGTCATGCAGTCACGTCAGCTCACAGTGAACTACTTGTCCACCTGAGCCACAACACAATCAATAAAAATTCTTGCTGTTCTCATCAACAAAATACAGCCTAACAAAAGCTTTTCAGAAGATGTCTAAAAAATGTGGTTATTTTATTTAATTCAAATTAAAATGGATTTAACAGCATGACCATATTCAGATGCAGTATTACAATATACAGAAATTTTACAAACTGCCACTGCTCATACTGGACTATTATGGATGAGTACACAGCAGCCTCCAAGAGTCCACAGGTTGAGATAGCATTAGCAGGGATTCAAGGCCTTTTTACTCCCTGGAGAGATTTGTGTTTAGTCAAAATCCCTGGGATTACATTATTTTCTATTTTTTTATAGCAACAGGAATAATAACACATTTACAGGACAGAGAAAGAAAAGAAAAAAGTGTGGGTGTGTTTGTCTCTGTGTGTGTGTGTGTGTGTGTGTAAGGTGGGGGGGTTAATCACTAAAGGAACAGGAGTGTATTGGTGATGCCCCTGCCCCGAAACACCAGCATGAGATGAAGCCACCACTTGGGGAGCTGTAGAGCATCACAGCAGGGTGAGGTCGTCTAGGGCAGCAGGACAGCAGCATCCTTGTGTCATGTTTAAATTAAACCTTTTCTTTGTTTCACTGTTCATCACGGTTTATGTTAATAGTTGATTGTTGGGACTGAAACAGCTTGGGGTCAGCCCCTGACCTTGACAGGAGAGACACTTCAGCCATGAGTTAAAGTGGGAGGTTAGACCAATCTTTTGGTTGAGGTTAAATGGTTCTGATAGCCTGGGGGAAATACTGATACCTAAATATTTAATGTTGCCAGTGTGAAGTGGAAGGGGGCAGTCTTGAGCTGCAGAATACCAGGCATCTTCAGAGAGTGGCAATATGTTGGATTTTTTTCCAGTTTATTGTGTAGTTGGAAATCCTGGAGAATGTGTTAATAATGGAGAAAGTTTCTTGTAGTGAACCGTAGGGGTCATGCAAATATAATAATGATTCATCTGCATAGAGTATAATTTTATGTTGTGAGTTAGTGTCTTTGTATTCCTTCGATGCTATTATTCTGTCATATTGCTGCTGCTAGAGGTCCAAAGAAAATGGTGAATAGAGATGGTGAGAGTGGGCATTCTTGTCTGGTTTCCTGGTGAAGTGTGAAACTTTGTGAGGTTATCCCATTTGTGGATATTGTAGCTCCAAGAGATAGAGTTACATTACTTTCTAAGGCTGTTACTTTTTGAGTTAGTCTCCCATTAGTCTTGCAAACAAAACAAAACCACCATCACAAGTACAAATGTAAGTGATTCAACTTACCACTGCTCAGTCCTCACCACAAAAACATACTATACATTAGCTCACTTCATTTATACTTCATCACATTTTTCAAATAACAAACACATCTCTCGCCAATCAACAGCAAACACTATCAGTATTACAGACCACACCAGATGTATTGAAAGCTATATAGTCTACAACATACTGTATTAATGACAGGATAACACACATTAAGATTAAACACTGACAAACCGAGGCAGACAGGTCAGAATTTGTCAGCGATTAAATCTCCCATTCCCACGTCAATGCTGGATGGATGCCATTGTTGTTAACATTTTTCTTCCACTCAGGAGGTTGTGAGAGCAGCTCATAACAAACTGACCAATCAGTGTAAAGAAATGTTGCCATTGGAAACAAATTGACCAATCAATAAGTATACATAATCGAGGCTATTATACCCCTCATTATTGTTATACAGCTTTGACTTCTTGAAGGCTCTTCTTTGTTGCCTTTCATTATATTTTGTAATACTACCTACTCTTACAGTTTTAATATAATTCATTAGTAAAGTAGTACAATGTTAAGATAACATATACTTAAATTTAGGATCAGACGGTTATGGAATGTGCAAACTGGAAAGGATTCCTCCTCTGGGGAGCCTCAGTCTGATCAGGAAATGTGCTAGAACTGCACACTAGACAGTGATCAACAGTGTCAGATTTAGAAGAAAACTAACAAAATGATGTGTGGAGCTGAGGGCCCCAGGTTGCATATGTGCCACCATCACGGGCAACAGGGGGGCTCAGTTTACTTCCACATGTGGAGTGCAGGCACTGCGATTTGAACCTTTAACCTTAGGGTTGGGAGACAACTGCTCTACCCACTGCACCGCTGTTACCTCCCACCTACCATTTACTCCCATTTACCACTCAAATATTTAAATATGGGGTCTTGATTTCAGACAAAAGTAAATAAATACATAGATACATAGATAGATAGGTAGATAGCTAAATAGAGAAGTCAGTCTAATTTCTACCGACTATTGATGCCAGCAGTAGGTTTTATCAGTTGTAGTTAACTAGCTAGGTAGATAATTAACTTTATAATTAGTTAACCAAAGTGCTAACCATGACAGAAAACAGGTATGGTACAAAATGTATGTAACAATGTTCAGTAAAAGCTCTGTAAAAATCTGAGGAGAATTAACATTTTCATTAATGTCTTTTTTTTAACAAAAGGTTAAAACACATGGCTCTTTTATTTATCACAGAACTCACATGAACTTCTGAACAAGACTGAGCAATGCTGGGATGAGCAAATAATCTGGTATAAAGCTTTGCAGACAGTTGTTTACCAGTATACTGGTAGAATCTTTAAACTTAATTAATTAATTACAAATTTTTACTAGTTTCCATAAATAATAAAGGAAGCTTTTCTGGTGGGGAATTAAAGATAGAGTCTCCTGATCTCCTCCTAGGTTGGACAGAGAGGGCATTAGTGATTCCAATGGAGTCATCAGTGGAAGTTATAGTGACACTTATTGATGCATATCAGTGAATGGTTAGCAGTGTCAGGACTGTTTGATCATTCAGTCAGCACATGCCTTACAAACAAACCAAAGAGTGAAAATCTTGTGGACTGTTTCATGCCATCCATTCTGATGGGAGGTGGTGCTCGTCGGGGTCAAACAAAGTGAATGAGAAGGAAGACGATGAGAAAGAGAAAGAGAGGGGTAACAGAACTTATTGTTAGAGTAGCTCTTGATCCCTGGTCAGTCAGCCAGCAGGAGAAGAGAGGGGGCCAGTTTCAGGATTCACACACTGCACAACATACACGTATCTTATATATTACCAAGAAAACTAGACAAACACACTGTAATGAGTGAGGGGGGAACTGAATAGCATGTCTCACTTCTGTAGGTGGGGCCAGTCAGCCAAGCCCCCCCTCCATAACATCTGCAAGACGTCCATTATAGTTCGATAGGTTGATAATAGTTCATATTGAGCTGTAGTGGAGAATATACCTCTATCAAGTGATATAATTAATCACTTGTAATCAACAGCTGATACTATTGTTAGGTTATTTCTTAGTTAGATAGGTATGGATTAGAGATCTGTTGTCTATGAATGTTTAGCGCAGACAGGGTGACTAGCTTGGGCTGTTAACTATTCAGCCTGCAGGCACGTCAAGGTTACAGGAAAACTGCTGTTAGTGTCAACTGTAATGCTAGTCTTAATATTTGTCTTAATGTGTAAGGTTATGTCCAATTGTTTAGATACACACCACGAAAACAACAGTCACGCACCTTGACTTTTCCGCATGTTTTGGCTAAACGTTATGGCAGCTGCAAGGCTTGCTTATCAGGTGACGTCACGGTTCGACAGCCCAGAAAGGATTAATATTGTATAGCAATGCTTGGTTCGGGGTCTTGCTGCTTCCGGGCTGCTTGGGCAGCCTGGGGTTGGAAGATCTCTGGACTTGGAGTGTTGATGCTTGCCTGTGACTCAAACGAAGCGTAAATACTCCGAACAGTAGTGGGCGATAAAGCCGCGCTGATTTCCAAAAGCCACGAAGGGATAACCGGAAGCGGAAATTGTCTTACTTTCTGTGTCGTTGATTGATGTAGGTAAAATATCCAAGGTTTTTAAGTCTCTACTAAGTGTATTATTATATCAGTGAGACATAGAAATGGCTCTTGAATCGCGGATTACACAGGAAGAAATCAAGAAGGAACCAGAGAAGCCCATTGACCGAGAAAAGGTAGGCAGCGTGGTTTTTTCAGGTCCTCAGACCCAGGCCTAGCTTGTTTGCCGTATGATCTCTAAGTTAAGCAGGTTTTGCTAGCCCTATATGCTAACAGCTTGGAGAATGGCTGATCTATGGTCAGGACGAAAAGCTATTTGTGGTATATGTAGATTCGCGTCTGTGTTCTATTTTTAAGTTACCGGGCCTTTTGTTGATTACCAATAAATAAGAAGGATATAAATGGTAGCCTCCGAAGCGTGCTAGCTAATCATAAATAAAAGGCATTTTAACGTTATGCTTTGTTGCCATCTATGAATTATTTTTTACATTGCTTAGCTTGAGACGTCGATAGCACCGTTTGGCTAGAGTTTTACTTGTATACTCATGTGCAATGGTTATTTTTGCTGCAGACTTGCCCTCTCCTGCTGCGAGTGTTCACCACCAATAGTGGCCGACACCACAGAGTAGATGAATTTGCCCGCGGCAACGTTCCTTCCAGTGAACTGCAGATATACACATGGTGAGATCACAAACCTTTCACTCTATTTCTGTTGCTCAGTATATGTCAGTATTCACTAAGATTTTAAGTTTAGAGGATAAAGCATCTTATAGAGATACTATATGATGTGGATGTAGAATTAAGATCTGATTATTCAGATTATTTCTGTGTGTTCCAGGATGGATGCTACTCTGAAGGAGCTGACTAGCCTAGTGAAGGAAGTGTATCCAGAAGCCAGAAAAAAGGGAACCCATTTCAGCTTTGCCATTGTCTACCCTGACCCTAGAGGGAAAGTGTACAGGTTGGTATGACACTACAGAGGTGCTGCTTGGATACATGGAGTATGGAGTGTGCACTGCATACTAAAACGTCTCTGTCCCTCCCCCCCTTAAGGTTGAAAGACATCGGCAGCACTGTATCTGGCAGGAAGGGTGCAGATGATTCCATGACGTTGCAGTCTCAACGCTTCCAGATCGGAGACTATTTGGACATAGCTATTACGCCACCCAACAGAGCCCCACCCCTTAGCGCCCGCATGAGGCCATTCTAAACATTCACACATAAACTGACATAAATACATTACCTAACATACCTAATTTAGTTTTTCTTTTACATTGTATTTGATGCTCATCACCTCATTTTATAAAACATGATATGTAATAAAGTTGTCATTTTTTTCCAAGGTATCTTGAGTATTTGTGTGTTGCATATTGTAAGAATTGAATGCAAATTTTTTTCTACATTAATCAGCATTTGTACTGTGGAAAACTCAGAATTTCATTGAATTAATAGTGATCCATACCCCACCAGTGTAACATATTTGGAGTCAAAATTTCAGGTGCACCTCACTGATGATTTATATTACCAGTTTGTAGTGGTGGGCAAGTGAAGCCTCATGAAGCACTGAGGCTTTCCTAACAATTGTGCTGAAAACGATTCAAAGCTTCAAGACTTCAGTGACGGTGACATCTGGTGGACAACTGAAGCCATAGCAGCCTCTAAAAAGCACGATTGAAGCACTGGCACTGTTTCAATCCCATGACAGCAATAAAAGTTCAGAAAAGTCTGTGTGGTCATTCAAGTGTTTTGCTCATTTATACCAAATAATGATTATATCGTCATTACAATAAAATATGCAGATGCTCGCCCCCATACTGTAAAAAACATTCCAGATTAACCCAAACAATCAATGCAAATTATATTAAGGGTTAAATGTTGGTTAAGGGTTAATTTCAAGCTTTGAGCTTTATTTAAATACTGTACTAAAAGCCCCTAACAGGATTAGAGATCCTTCCTACTTTGCAAA